TGCATTTTGTGCAAAAAAACTTCACAGGATAGCTAAACATAATTTTTAAAACTTAAATTCTTGCTTTTATCCAAAAATAAATGCGATTCCTTAAACTTGGCTTCAGTCTAATTTGATCAACTTCGCGCAAAATTTTCCAGTTCTGGAAGGGATTATTATTTCACTTTTTATTTATTATGGAATTCTTCCACAGCACAATGTATATTATAAAAATGTTTGGTTCTGCCATACCTTATAGCATAGGAAATTTCTGTAATATAAACTTACCCACGATTTAGCCAAAATGCGTGCCAATTTCCCTCAATAACTTTAACTAAGAGGGCAGTTTTCCAAACTAAAGGCTTTCAACTTATTAAATCCACCTAGTTGAGCAAAATAAACTGTCCAAATATATGCGTAACTACCAAGTTAAATTTCGTCATGTAAGTTGTTTGCAGGACTTGCCATACTGTACTTTCTGGGACTAGCACGTTCGCTTGTATTAGAAGTTGTGTTCTACTGCAAGCTGAGGTGGCACAAAACAGTTAAATGCAAGCTCTGAGAAAAACATCTTTAGATTTTGGTATCATTTGGACAGTCATTAGGGGGCGCCTATGGCTTGCGCATGAGTACAATAACAGAATAAACAGTTGAGACGAATGTCGTTAGTTGTCAGAATTTTAATCATTTGACATGACCTGACCATATCTCCAGTTCGGCGAGTGCAATATCATTGCAAGAGGCGGCAGCTGCCTGTGCTTTGAGTTGTCCAAATCATGGTTCCCAGGCCCCAGTGGATACAGTTTCGGAATACGTTCCCCATAACAGTGCATCATTATGGTTGTTTGGGCAAATAAATGAAGCGGCGTAAGTGGAACCCCACTTTAGAGGACGGAGCTGAATAAAAGGCTTGTTATTTTACAATAATGTCAACACCAAAGGTAAACAATCGGAGAACCATATGCGGCCTGCCAGTGACCAAAAGTGCAACCGAAGGATATCCGGAGCCCTTACATACTGCAGTATCCGTGCGTGGTTGCCATGATCTTATTCTGTCCAGCTGTGCCCCATAGACGGGCCACGCGGCGGACGTGTTCGAGTAACATGACGGTCCAGATCACGGCATGATAGTCGTTATTGATCATGCGCATCTTTAACAGCTGCCACACATTG